CTGAATGGACACTTTTGGAAATAAAAATATGGACTAGATAGTTTGGTGCAGGAATTTTTCCAGGGCTGGCCCAAGACATTTTAGTACCCGAAACAACTCCCCATGCACCCACCCCTCATTCCTGTTCCCAAATCAGAATGGACTGCTAATTGAATAATTATTTCAGTATGGGTAATGGGAAAACGTTTTATATGTTTTGACTTATGTTGTTGAATGTGACATAAGTGAAATGTTGATGGCGGTGATGGCGATAATGATGATGATACCTGAGGCAGCAAACCAATTTAAGTGGTATAGAACAGCCACAGGACACAAACACCTTTGTCCTCCAACAGAGAGAAATGATTGAGGACTCAGGGGAACAGCCAGGTTGCTGTTGCTTCTGGCCCGCCTCAGCACCCCGCAGGGATTGCCTCCATGAGGACCACTTGCAGCAGTCCCAGCAAAGACTGAAAGGACTTGAGGAATCAAGTGTCACTGAGTTGGGCTTCCCATTTCAGAGTGGCAATGAGTACAGCAAATTTTCAGCTGCCAAGCCCTAGCACTTGTAACTATGGTAGCTACAATATCATAGGACTAGTTTTCTGAACTGGAATACTAATATAGTCACTGACCCTTCTTTCTATCCTATCATTCCTAAGGGTAAATATTTGTTGTTGTGGTGTGCTATCATGTCATTTCTGGCTAATGGGGGCTCTAAGGCAAACCTATCATGGGTTTTTCTTGGCAAGATTTGTTCAAAGAAGGTTTGCTATTGCCTTCTCCTGAGGCTGAGAGCATGTGATTTGCCCAAGGTCATTCAGGGGGTTTCATGGCTGAGCTGGGAATCAAATCCTGGTCTCCAGAGTCATGGCCCAACACTCAAACCCTACACCATGCTAACAAGAGGTTAAAGTCCAGTGTTAGTCCTACTTAGAAAAGTCCCCTTGAAATGAATGGGAGCCACAGTTTCATTGATGGATTTGACTCTTGGCAAGACTGACAAGTGGATTTAGCACTAAAACTTCAGTCATTGTGTGTATGGGGATAGTATAAACCAGTCACTGCCCAGTACAGGAGGTTCTTTTAGAAATCTGATATCTCTACCCAATGCATCTGAAGATGGTTATATAACAGTGAATCTAGTATTATTTTTTCACTATTGCCATAAATATTGCCTGTGGGTTTTTTCCCCCTGTGGTATGGTAGTGACCTGAAGATGGTTTTATTTGTTGTAGAAATAGATTCCCATGTGTCTTGGTCATTTTTCACCCTGTCAGTGCAATTGTGGCTTTTATTAAGAGGAAAATCACCCCAGCCACATACACAGGGCTCATTCCCACTATGATTTAAAGTGATTTGCTGATTGCTTTATATGTGCCTCATTCCTATTGGAAATGGTTTCAGACCCAACTTTGATTGGCCTGACTCACGTTGAAGCGAGACAAATGCAACAACAACAACAAAAGCTTTCCAAAAACACGGGTTTTCTGGTGCTTCTTTTTTTGGGGAAATCGATTCAGAAGAGTGTTCAACAAGTGTGAACAATGGATCTGATTTGCAGGCATGGAGGCAAGCAGAGCCCCACCAAGGCCAAGGTGTGGCGGGAGGAGCAGCCTCTGAAGCAGGGAAGAAGAGGACCCAGCAGCTGGAGGGAGGAAGGGAGAAAGGGAGGCTGGACTCCCCCTGGCCCTGGCCCCAGAGCCCTACAGGAAAGAGACTGGAAGCTGCCCTGGAAGGACTGCACTTCGGCCGCCCCTGCTCCTTGTCAGAGCACATCACCCATGGGAGACTTTCTCCGGCTTTGCTGTCTAAGGGAAAAGAGAAAAGGGCTGAGAGACCAGGCGTACTTTCCCTGCTTCCACCCATTTGCAATCTTTGGCAGTCTGGGGCTTAGTGGTGCCCACATTGGGTGACCACAGGTCCTCCTTTTCCAGGACACAGTGCTCCCTTTCAGCCTTCTGTCCAAAAGCATCATCCATTTTGAAGCACAGGTTTCTAGGGGCTCATTCCCACTAGTGGGAACAACATGGGATAAATAAATAATTCGCTTCCATAGTGGGAACTATACATCGGCCTGAATCGAATCTGCGACCTGGTGTCAATGCAAATTGCAAAGTAGTTTATAAGATAGTGGAAATGATCCCACAGCCTTTTTTCACATAGTGCAAGCCCCTGGAGCTAGTGCAATGTGGTTGCATTATCAAGTGGCTACTGTGTCCGATGAGTGCATTTGGGAACTGGGCTTCAGATAAATGAACAAACAAAAGCTGAGCAAGTAGGATATGCGCCAATGGCCAAAACATGGGCAAAAATATATAACATAGTACTTAAGAGGAAAGGTACATCCTTTGGCCATTTAAA